GGCTGTTGTTGTGTGGGTCCCGCTCTAGCACAAAGTTAAGGATGAAGGTGAAAAGGAGGAGGTTTGAAGGACTTGGGTTCTCCCTGGCAAGTACATTGATCAAAGATTGAGAGGGGAATGACAGAGAGAAAATGAGCTGAAAAGTGCAGGCTGCCGGCTGGACGAGTTGTTGTTGTCACACGGTGCAGAGGGGAGGAGCTCCGGAAACTTGAAATACCCTTTGAAGCCGCAAAAACCTCACTCACTAGTATTAACCCAAATTATCCAACCAGGAACTCGGAGCAGAGACTCCGAGAGCGCGAGACGCGGAGGGAAAGCGAGTGAGCGAGAAAAGGAGGGGAGGGGGGGAGGATAAGGAAGAAACTACGCGAGGGACGGAGAGGAAGAGCCGGGGACACAGAAGTGGCGGTCGGGAAAGGAGAGGGAGACGATCTACTTCTCTTCTGCTACTACCGTTAGGTTGCATGTCTAATATTCCATTTCGTCCGCGACGACTCGTAATTTTTTTTTTCCCCCAACACCTTCTGAGCAATCGCCTGCCAACTTAAAAGAGGAGCCAGAGCGCTCCGAGCTCTCCTTCAGGGATTGAGGATTTATCTGCGCTCGTGTTGGCAATAAGATATAAATGAAAACACATCCCCTTACTTCGTGATTATTAAGAAATTATTTTCAGGGAGCTTCACATGTGAGCAAAGCCTATGTTTGATGCAGCCGATTGTGTTACTCTCTCTGTTAAATTATTTATTAGTGTAGAGAGAGTGAAAATTCCAGGACAGTTGTGGGGGGAAAGGCAGTCTGAAGTCACTTCAGGATAATGGAATCCTCTGTATTTAGTTTCTTATTTCCTGATAGATTATGGAAAGAAAGAAATGCTTGCCATGATGTGGACCTTTCAGAATAACTTCACTCTCACCCCAAAGGAAGGTCAGAAATGCTGCTTTTACCTAGAGACTTTGAAGAAATCAGGCACCCTTGAAGATTGAGAAAGGGGAAAACGAGAAAACACTTTTTTCTTACCTAAAACTCTGTAATTAATTCACCTGTCTTGCATAGAAAACAACTATCCCCACGTCCTTTAAGACCCCAGGCTATTTGCCAGTGTTTTATAGGAATCACACATTATTTTCTTTCATATTTGAGAAGTTTCAGTGTATTTGGGGAAAGTCCTTTTCTCAGTTTGTCAGTGCAAATGTGTTTTGTAAATAATGAGAAGAACAAAACAAGCTCACTAGTTGACTTGTAAAGACAGAAAGGGTAGCTATGCTTAAAAACATGAGGCTGAGTTTAGACTGACTCTCTTCCTCTTTGCCTTCCTCTCTCCTCTTCTCTTTCTAACTTGTTGCATGGAGGGTTTTTTCTTTTTCAAGGATTTTTGACCAGCCTATGATCTGAACATAGGTCAAGTTTGTTCTCTGTTTATATCTCTAGGAATCTCAAGTAATTAGGCTTTAAACCTGTCTGTACAGGTTTATTAACTTCACAAGACAGAAACAATGCTGAAGCATTGGATAGAGTTAAAAAATAAACTATTAGCATCAGGTTCCCAGGGTTGGGAAATTTCATAATGAAATTCTGCCATTTTGGTGCTGAAATGATGATCACATTTCTCTTTGTCATTTTAATTTTTTAAACTTTTTGAAATTTAGTGTCAAAAGGCACAGGAAATATCTACAGAGAAATATGGCACCATTGACTAAGTTTATGCTAAACTTTTTGGGGCACAGCAGTTATATCAGGAGGCTTTCCTGGGTCATAAGAATTCAGAAAATTGATTGTTGCTAAAAAGTAGATAGACTTCTGCAAAGATAGCTGGAGTTTACACAGTTGTTTGGCCTAATTAGCCAATGCATTTTAATATATTCAGAAATAATTTATATTACTTTTTCACCCCTCCCGTCAATCCTCAAAAATAGAGATTCGATAATATGTCACATACATCAAAACACCACATTAAGTGTTGACACATGTTTTGGAAAATAGTACCTTTTTTAAAAATGCCAAATTACTATGTTAATGAGTGGGGGAAAAGAAGACGATATTGAGCCCTGAAAAACTAATTTTATTTTGGAATTGCATGCACAACTTTAATAAAGTCCGATATAGCTAAAAACGCTAAACTACAGTTTCCTCGTTTTAACTTCTAGATCCAGAAATGGGAAAAAATCAGAATTAAGTGCTGAGAATCTGCCCTTATCATTCTCATTTCTCACATTTCCTTAAACTGCCACTCACCCAGTACCTGCCATGTTCGGAAGCCACAGGCAGGAAGTAATAATAGCTGACCAAGCCATAATCCCACCCAGCTTTGAAGCAAACTCCAAATTTTCTGCAGGGAATCCTGCGCCTCCCAGCACGTGCTCCGTTCAGAGGTAGGGCTTGGGGCCTTTACCCCCACCTGAATGGGAGCTCCCCCCCACCCCCCAACCTCAGGTCTCTAAACCGTTTCTGAGAACTACCACATGCCCCTTTGATCAAACAATAGGATTAGAAGAAGCATCTAATGCAAATTAAATATGTAGGGGAAAAAAGCCTCAAATATTTTAGATTTAAGATTCTTTCCTTGTTTCTTTTTCTCTTTTTCTTTCCCTTTCTTTCTTTCTTTTAGAAATGTTACCAATGATTAAGGCAAATAGTATTTAACATCAGCAGATAAATCAACTCCACAGAGATTTCAAATTCTCACTCTTTCTCCTGCATCTTTAGCTTTCAAAGCTTTTGTCTTGTTTGTTTATTGTTTTACATCCTTGGCTGTTTCAGGTCCTCTCCCTCCATCTCATCTTTTCCAACCTGCACCAAATTTGCATAAGCAAAACTCAAAGTACTGTAACTGATATTAGAAAATTCTCCCTGTGTTTTGTGAAGACGTATTGTGCTGAAATCAATAAGACTGTTTAAAATTCAAAGACCTGCAAATCGTTCTGTTTGTCCTTTGATAGGGCCTGTGCTGATTAAAATGCTACCAAGAAAGCTTAATTGCTGCACTAATTAAGAAGTCTTTAATTTCTTTCCTAGGATGTCGTTTGAAGCTGAGCTTGTACCAGTTCAGGGAAGGTATTTTCTTCCCTCCCTCTGCCCCCTCCTGGCCCCTCCCCTCTCCTCCCCGCTCCTCTCGTGCCCCGCGACGACATCCCAATGAATGGGAACTAATAGAGAGAGTGGTCTCAGGTCTCACCATCTATTACTTAACAGAAATCGACACAGGACACAGAGTTCAGTGCAGTATGAAATGCAGTTTTTCAGAAGAGCTGTAAGGTTGCAGGAGACAGTGAGGAAACACAGAGTAGCTGTTGCAGCTAAAGTCCCGGGGAATACCTGGATGACAACAGGCACTTTAGCTCGATGATGAGGGCATCCTATTTGGTTAAAAGGGGGCAGTGACAAGGGAATGCTTCTACTGAAACAGGGCAACATAAAAAATATTTTTTCCAAACCTGTGGTTTTTAAAAAAAGAAGAATAAATCTGTAGAAAGGAGGATTTATAGTTGGGATTTGGTAAGTATCATTTTATTTTACGAGTATAAAATCATGAATTCTATGGGGATTTATTTTTGACCCGTTTTATAACCCAGGGTGGCATAGCACTGTATTACATCCTTTGCATCATTTTCTATTGACCTATTTTATTCACTGATTTCTCAAGTGGGGAAACTGACTAAATGATTTCACAAAGCTTTCTCTGTAATCAATAGTCATTTTTTAGGTTTATTCATGCTGCATTATAATTCTGGTAAATGACTGCAAAGCAGAAGATTGTTAAGAAAGATACAAATATTGACAAAGCCAGGATAAGTCATGTCTTTAAATCTTAAGAGTTTCAATATAGCAATTGATATAGTTATTTGAAAGAAAAAGATTGAAAATGCATATTTCATGCACTATAAAAAAACAAATGACTGGGTAACTTAAAGATAACACATATCTGCATATGTTTCTGGTATATCTCAAAATTTCCTGAAACCTTTGAGGATCCTCCTTTTCTAGCATCACTAAGTGAAACAGAAACAATTTGGCCATTTGCACAAAGGAAACATTACAATTTTATTCTTTCAAGTTTTCCCCAAGTTCTATTAGAAGCATGCACAGAAAAATACAGATATATACTTCAGATATATACTGAATTCCTTTCAGTGACAGGACAAGGAGATAACACGCTTAATAGATTCAAAGGGAGATTTACCATTCCGAGCACGACGTCACTCTAATTATGTTTACTCTAATTGAAAGCAAGGTTTTTTGGAATCTGAAATTACTTTCAGAATTTTTTTTTTAAATAATGCAAGTGGATCAAATGTTGATCACAAGCATTTCAATCTTTCAAAATGTATTGGAAAATTAAATGAAAAGTGGAGTTTGGTACAAACAATGCCCCAGGGCAAAAAACAACTAACACTAGATTTTCCAGTCCAGCCATAACACAAATCAATTTGAGCACACTTCTATGGCCAGACTGCCAGATTGTTATGACTGCTAATTCACTCAATCAAAGAGTGCATTAGCACACCCGGCACAAATAGCTTTAACAATAGAGTGCACTTCTGAACAATTCTAAGATATATCACAACGGAGAAGTAAAGAGGAAGATCATTTTTACATCTGCATATTTACTAATGGACCTGTTTCCTTAGTAGAAAAAAAAAAAAAGACAGATAAACTTCAGGCAGAGGTTTATTAAAGAGCTATCCAAGTTTGGCAAATCTAGGAAGGTATCAGGGTACCAGTAGTTCACTGACTTTGTTAAACGTTTCTCAGGAGAGAGTCCAAAATTGATGTTTGCACTTCAGTAGTAAATCATTGAAGATGGAGAAATTATGCCAAGTAACTCTCTCAAGCCTTTTTAACTTAGACACTCGGCCTCACCAATCAGCTCAGCAGATACACTTTGACTGCCTGAAGCACAGACTTCTCCACCTCTACACGTTCTGCCTCTGCCTTCCCCACCTAGGGTTCTAACTTCTGACTTGTAGTGACTCTCACTTCCTCAGTCTTCCCCTCTTTTCCAATTCCCTGCCTTTCCTCAAGAACGAGGAATAAGACTTTTATCTCCCGGATGCACTCTCTAATCAGGCGCAGAAGAGCTTGGTGATAAATTACCCGAAGGACAGAAGGTGGGGAGCTGAAGGTGAGCACACTATAACTTGAAGCACTCAAACTTTACATTACAAACTTCCGTTCTTAATAAAGAAGTGGTTTAAATGGTTATAAATAACTTTGACCTGTTTTACAGCATGGAAATGCATGGACTGTACATATTCTTACTGAATGCATATAGTAATGATCTATTCATATTCCTGTTTGCATAGATCTCAGGGCCAACTGGCAGGATTTGCACCACTGTACCTCTCTCCCTAAACTTCTGTCCTCACCTCCTTTTCTCCTGGTTCAGAATGAAGGTGACATGTAGCCAAAAATACTTTGCTGGTTATAGGGCATATTTTAAGAAATCTCTAAACCCATGCCAGGGGAGAGAGAAGGTAATGGCAAAGAGAAGAATAGTTACAAAGAAAAGGAAAAAAAAAAAAAAAAAAAAAAAAAAAAAAAAAAAAAAAAAAAAAAGCCATCTTAGGATTGTTTTCCTGACTCCAAACTACATCATTTCCATGACAGCAAGTCAACTCTCCCTGATAATTTACTTACACTTGTCCATCACTCCTTACTTCCAGTGTAAATGTCCTAATTCCATCTCTGGGTTGGTATTGAATTGCACAGCCAAATATCCGATAGAAAAATAAACACAGTGAGATCATTTTAGAGTTGGATTGTAAAAGGAAGCAGCAACAAGAATAATATAAATTGAGATTAATTCCCTTCATCTCTTAAATCAGGCCATTGTGAGAGGAAGAGCAGACTGGATTGAAGTAAGGTCAAAAAGTCAGGCAGACATTTAAATCCTTAGTTCTCTGGTAAATATTCTACGTTCAACTGTACCTTTTAATACGAGGCATTTTCTCATTGTCATACTTCTTTTTCTTTAAATAACCCAACTCATTTTCCTCTAAAGAAGATCAGTATCAGGACCTATGAATTGCTTAAGGGATACATAGCTGGGAATGGGGGTGGGGAAGAAGTCTTATGTAGTATAAATGCACGTTCAATATGAAAACATAAATTGTCACATAATTTTGTGATGTTAGGAGAAATGTATTAAACTTGATTTTAAAAGTTTATGTGGATTGCTTTTTTGTTTTGTTTTAATTTATAATCTTCATCCTTTTTTCTTCTTTGCTCTATTAAGTAAAAGAAGAGGTCATTGTCTAACAAATAGCCTGTAAAAACTGTTCTATTTGAAGTCCGAAATTTCAAGGATTGTTAGAAAAGAATAAACTGTTTATTTATTTATTGCCCTTCAGAACAAAGAGTTTTTTTAAAGTTGAAAGAATAACAATTGCCACCTTCCAGCCGGAGATCTTGTATGTCAAGTTTCAGCCCAGAGCAAATTTTTACAACAAGTTATAAACCCCCTGTAACAGAGGGTTTATTATAATGGAAGTGCTGACACAACCTTAACTATAGCGTTGTAAACGGCTATGCTATAATATCCATTAAGCAGAAAGAAAAATAAGCTGGCTGATCAATAATTTATACAAAGAGTACCAACTGCAGACATAATAACTGTAATGTTTGCAAAGCAATCTCTCTGCTCTCCAGGCTTAACAGTAAACGCAAACTAGCAACGCTGTTAATTTCCAGCTCCTACAGATAAGAATACAAACAAATTACTTAAAATTATATTTTGCTCAACATTTAGCATGCCTCGATGGGATAAAATAAAATTTAATTATGATGCAACTTGTGCCGGATGCAAAGCTGTTTTGTTTTCCAGCACATTTTATTATGAAAGGACATTCATTTGGAACATCAATTATGGGGAAATAGTATGTTTCAATGAGTTGACTTGGGTCAGGCAGGCTCCTCTAAGAGTTATTCAGACATGGAAACAGATTGACACTGTTTAACTTCAAAGAAAGTTACAGGGCTTTACAGAGCCACAACCTGAAATACAATACTGCAAGCTCTGATCCGAGTCAACTGTCAGTAAAAACACACCTTGTCATTAGAGTTCATGGGAAAAAAGACGCTGGCTTGGAAAATGTGGCCATCATTAGCATCCAGTGATTCTTGGAGTGCTCAATTAACGGTAAGCCTCATTTGCATGGAAGCAAGATGTGTCGTTTCTACCTAATAAATGGGGATCATAAAATGTGAGCATTATTTTCTTTTCTGGAAAAATTTTTAAAATATATTTTCGTAGATGTCCATATTTATTGCTGCTTTGCTTTGTGTAGTGCCCACATGTGTGGAGTGTGTCATTTTGATATTTTTGTTCTTGTAGATGGCTTTGAAAGCAGGAAAAGATTTGAGAGGTGTAAAAGAAGGAAATAGAAGAATTGAAGGATCCCAAAACGCCCACTATGCACATACTCAAGGTTGAACCAGATTGTACATTTCTAAGGTTCACATCTCCATCAGTCTTTGTTGTCTGTTCATTTCCTGGGGGGGTGTGGAACCCAGTAGAACGAAGAGACATTGCTATCAGAGTTGTAAAATGGTGTATTACCCTGTGAGCAATTGCACTTGGAAAGGAACCAGTAATTTATATGAGAAGTGTTTAAGATTGCCTGCTCACCCAGTGATCCATGCCAGGTCAGTTCCAGTAATGCCAGAAAACAAAAGGAGGTGCACATCACCGGGAAAGAGACACCTCATATGCCTTAAGAGCTTGTGAAGGGGAGCACTAAAATGCCATTTTCTCAAATGAACTGGTCATTACCATTTAAAATCCTAAGGGGCTGTGGGACTGGGGAGGAGAGAAAGAATTTTTCTTTTGATTTAACAGGGCTCTGAAGTACTAGTTTTAAGGGGGAGGTTTTTTGTTGTGATTGTCTCAGCCCTATGCTTTAGCAAAGGTTAAATCCTGAAACAAAGGTGCATTTTTTAATAATGGAATGGAAAAGGATGAACACGATTCCTCTGAGAATGCACTTGGCCCATTTTTAAACTTAGAAATGAACTGTTTTAAGGATTACCAGTGCAAATAGTAATACAACCCTCCACTAGTAATGTCTATGCCAGGTTCTAAGTTGTTGTTAATTTTTTCCTTGAAAAGATGTGCCCAGAGCCACCCTTCACCCCGCTGGTTCTCAGGAGAGGACTAGGGATACTGGCAGGATGTTATATAAGAAATCACTTCCTAAGAATTCTTCACAGGTCTCTTTATTCTTGTTTAACATAATCAAAGCACAGGCTCGGAGTGGTATCCTGGCATTGGGGTACAGATTACTTCTCTGCCGTCCTCAGGCACGTGCTTTCCCCACAGACTGTAAAGTTGTTTCAATTTTTCAACCAGAGTTCAGTT